CCAGTATGTTGCAGACGAGCTTGAGGGCGGTTAGGGGATTGTGGGACCAGGCCAGCGGTAGCACTTGCTTCACATAATTACACGAGGCCTCCATCACGGCCGGGTCGTGAACGTCTTCTTTCCCGACGTTGTAAAAGAGATCAAGGCATGGGTTGTTGTTGTTGTTGACAAGCTCAGGGTGTGTCTCTGCCTCTGGCTTCGACATGGTTTTGGTTTTGTTTGCTTCTTCTGTGTTGTTCTTGTTCTTGTTGTGTTGTCTTGTGTGTATCTCTCCGTTAATTTATATAGGAATACGAAGTCTCCCTGTTAATATAGGAATGAATAGAAATAATAATTTTCGACCGAAAAAAGAAAGAATAGAAATAATAATAAGAATAGGAAGAAATCTCCCTGTTAATATAGGAATGAACATAAGTAATAAGGAAAGTATTAAAATGAATAGAAATAATAAGGAAAGAAATAGCCATTACCTATGTCTTGTAGGACTAATTTCTCTATAATATATATAGTTAATAAAATTATTATAGCCTGAACAAGTAAGCAAATCAGACATACCCATATTGATGATCTTTTAATTTGGTTGGATTCGGATCTTTCGCTTGTTTTTTTCTCTACTTTGATCTCCTCTGAACCACTACAAGGAATTTTGAAGGGAAAAACTACAAGTAATCTCTCTCTCTCTCTCTCTCTCTCTCTCTCTCTTTTCTTCTCCTTCTTCTCCTCCTTTTTGATTTTTTTAATTTTAATTTTAATTTTTTATGATTCACGAATGGATCAGTCATGATTGGCAGTAATTGTAATATATTTCACTGCAATATTTAGATTTCTCATCCTCAAAAGAAGAAAAGAAAGATTCTGAAAAGCACATTAAACAATGTGATAGAGCTGACCAAAAAAAGGTTTTTTAGGTTTTAGACATAAAAAAAATTTCACTTTTGGAAAAAGCCAAAGCTTTTTCAAAAAAGACAAAAAAACCACTCAACTTTCAAATCAAAGACATGCAAATGTATAGGATTCCTTAGGAAATCTAAAAACAAATAAGGGCATTTTTGTCCATTTTTGCTTCTTTTAAAATTTTTTTCTCTCCTTTTGCTTTTTCCAAAATGTCCCAAAAAATTTGAACCCACAGTTAGAGATGGGCTTTGTTGGCCTATGGCCCATGGCTGGAGATAGCCTTATCAGTTTCAATCTTCTTCAGATGATTCTGTCGTGGGCTGACCCGAACAAGTGAAAAGCCAGATCTTTTGTTGCCCAAAAACAATGGAAAAGGACAGACAAGTATCAATCAATTAACTCATCAAAATTGTGAATCTATTTCACTCCATTCACCAAATGAAGTATAGCGTATCACATAGACCTAAATTCACTCGGCAAACTTTTTATGTTCTTTCTTTTGGTTAACAAATTTTTTTTATGCTTTAAAATACGTTCTACATTCAAATCGTGAACCCCTGGAAAAATTCAATTACAATTGAAACCCGAAGACAACGGAGGATAGTTCTCATTATGTGGTCCAAATGAAAATTTGATGAAAAGGAAAAATTACAAGAAAATACCAAAAATGCAAATAGTAAGATCCAAAACACTATTTTGGTTCCCTGCCTGACCTAGAATTAATTTGGGAGCAAAATCTCATCATAATACTCAAGCAGTCTTCGGCTTTGCTTTAATGCGCTTCACCCCAGCAAGCGCTACTCCAGTGCCTGCATCATCATATATCGAAACAAAATTATAAATCCATCATAACATGTTTGCTGTAACTTAAGTCAATATACAGCATAAGAAATCAACTTCTACATCTTTTGAAAATCAAGCAGTACAAAGTGGAAGACCAAACGCGGAACAGGGAGACAAATAAAACAAATTTTGATTTCATTTAAACATAAGCTCATTTTCCCTTACATTTCCATTTTCTTTCTTTCTTTGGATCAGTGATCCTTCTTTAAAGTGGGAGTCCAGCTACAGCATCCAGAAAAACTAACCTAATCTAAGCCTTAAGTGGCTATTAGCTACAAAAGCAGAAACTACCCTAACCTATAGTTTTATTTCTATTTTTGTCTTCTCTTCTCCTTCATCCTCCTCTTACTCATTGTAATCAGCCGGATTCATAGCCACCGTCTTGAGTTTCATCTTCTGCACTTTGTCCTTCATCACTCTTGGCTCCAAAGCATTCTTGATGTCTCTGTTTTTTGTGTCAAAACAAATGGTGCGGCTCACAGAACCAGCATCCCATTTGGCTCTCTTAGCAAGTTGGAGTATGGTGTGGAGATCCTCTTTGGATTTTATGAAAAATTTGTGGTGTGAAACAGCAGTATTCATTGCTTCATTCAAAGTTTCCTCAGCAACCAACAAATCGTTAGTTGCCTTCCTGAACTTTGAGAGAGCAAGTTGTGAGGAGATTGGCATTTTGGCTTGGGCAAAGGGTTTTGTGTGGTGTGTGCTATGATCCACTCCACCTATCTTTAAATAGTGCTATTGGTAATTCAATGATCTAGAGAGACAGACAGGTTGCGTGTGCTGCTAAACGTGAAACGTGAAAGAGAGTAGTGGGCCAATGCCATGCCAGCCTCCCTCCTCTCTCAGTCATCCCCCGTTCTCTTAGCTGTTGAAGCAGATAGACATTATAGCGTTGCAGCAGAGCCAGAAAGCCAGAGCCCTCTCTCTCTCTCTCTCTCTCTCTCTCTCTCTCTCATACGCCAACCCGTAAGTTAAAATTAAACAAACCTTTTTTTATTTTCACAAAGAATAAGGAATTGCATGGTTTTGCATAGAAGGGTAAACAGCCATTTGTCCTTGTATGTTTCCACTTGGCAGTTGGCACTTCACCACCTCACTCCCCTCCATGCAATCCATCCATTTTTATGCACAAAACTTGCTTTCTTTTTCTTTTATCTCTTCCTTTCTTACTGTAAAAAAGGAAAAAATGTTGCAAAAAAGTAAAAAACGTTGCTTTCTTCTCTGTTTTTACTTTCTTGGCATTGGTTTTTGTTTTGGGCATTTGGTGAGTGAAGTGAAAATACGATGTGCTGAAAAAGGATTTTGTATTAATTCGTTTTCAGCCGAAGCCTGGCAAGATCAGCAGCTATCAGAAACGATCTTGCCGCAGAGGAGATGAGCCAATCGAAAACAATGCTTGTGTGTATTGAAGTGATAATGATGAAGACGACCATTTGTTTTGGCTTACATTTTGAAAAAGGATTTTGTATTAATTCGTTTTCAGCCAAAGCCTGGCAAGATTAGCAGCTATCAGAAACGATCTTGGCGCAGAGGAGATGAGCCAATCGAAAACAATGCTTGTGTGTATTAATTGAAGTGATAATGATGAAAATGAGTCATGACCATTTGGTTTGGCTTATTGAATTATCCTTTACATTTTGAAATTATGGTAAAGGCGAAGTTAAGTTAACCTGACACCAAGTCAGTTGTGATGTTTGTCGCATCCACCGGCCAATCGATCATCTTGTGCCACAATTCCTTACTAGTTACATTCATATATACAAGCAATAATAACTCAAGTTGAGTTGAAATTTTATCCTTTTAACTGAAATGGTAAAGTAAAGAGATGGGAACGTATGTCATTCTTGCTGGCGAGTTTTGTTTGACAATTCTTATTTATAATTCACGTTGTAAACGAGTAATTATTGAGGATGGTCATGCAATCTAGCTTCTTCGCACTATTAATATAAAGATTAACATGCATCTGTATTTCAATATCGCACAAAAAAGATAGTTAGAAACAAAGTAAATATAAAAACAGAGTAGGCCTATTTGGCCCGGCCCAATCTGGTATGGTCCGTTGTCTTCTTTCTTTTCTTTGAAAATCGGCCCAATCCAACTCAAACTCATGACATTTGGGCCAAACTAGTCTGGCCCGGCCCATTTACAAATCCTAATCTCAACCTCCAATAATATCCAATTCATTCATTTTATCAAACTAATCGTAATTAAAGTAACTTTCCAATATTTCATCATGGGAAGCGGAACAATATTCTCTAATTAAAGTGTACGTATATTTCTTTGTTTTATGTGGGATGTCACTATTGAATTCTTGATAACGTTTTAATAACCAACCAATGCATTATGCATATACCAAATACTCACAACGCCTTGTGCAAGCCACTAATATGCTACTAACTAACTATTCGATTAGTGAAACTCACAATAATCAAATTTCCATCTAATAGAATATATTTTTACTTACTTAATTTGTTTGATATGACCTTATATTATATATAATTCAATCATTCATTTATATTATAATACGTGTATTTATTTAATAATATTATAAGTAACTTAAGTTCATAAATATCAAGCTCACGTCACAACATAACCGGCATACTAATTAAAAAAAGTCTTTATGTTTATCATAACAAAAAGAAGCCAACTTCAATTACAGTACTGAAGCCTTAAATTTATAGCTAGGAGGACGAACCTAGGAAATTATAAAAGTAATTGAAAGAGGAAGGCAAAAAAGAAAAAATCTCTCACCCGTCCGATGGCTTCCCACGAAGAGGCATTGAAGGAAGCAACGGTTGTGATGACTTAAGGGAAGCTAGTGGCCCCAGGGAAGTCCCCACCAAACTTGGTTCCGGGACCGACAATTGAGAAGCCGTCAAGTGTCTCGGACCATCATTCATAGCCTTTGATCCCAAGGCGAGGGACGGGCAGAGCAGTATTCACCAGCAGCTTAACCTTCTCTTGCAATGTCAACCTTGCAAGAAGATCCCTCACTGTATCTTGTATGGTCAGTGTCTCAAATGGCAAGTATGGTGGTATGGAATATTTGGATGGATGTTCGTGAATGATGTTATATACACATAATGATGTTATATACACATAATTGTGACCAGCTCATATATTAATTTGTAAGTCAGATTGATGTATGATTTCTTGAAGTTAATGCTCTTGGTAGGAAGAATGAGGTTGTTACTGGTTGAAAGTGACCAAATTGTGACCAGCTCATATGTTACATTCATGTGTGGCTTATGTAACAAAATTAATGATAACAATTATAAGATGTTTTAGCAGTACAAAAATAATTAACTGTTAACAAATCTTTCAACCTTGGCGGTTGGTACTGCCCAACTAACTCAAGATAATTAAGCTAAGAGCAGCACTAATTAAAAAGAAAATATAATTAATAATAATCCAATTACAATAAATCTGAGTCCACTATATCGAGAGCTTGATAAGATTCATCGAAGATGGCTAATTCCGTGAGATGGTCGGGGCCAATTTCGCCTTCATTGTCGACGAAGAGTTTGAGCAGATTGTTGCAGAAGCCATGAGAATGAACACCCCGGTTGTGTACTAGGTGCTACCAGCTTCTCCGGGTTGTGCTTTGACAAAGTCCAAAACACCATTTGTGGCACCACATCCCCATACCCTTTCTCCTGATACTTGCTTTATATTGCATGGCAATCAATTTCAAGGTTTAAATACTGAGAAAACAAGAATTAAAGAACATAAACAAACAAATAGAAATTGGGGTTTCCTGAACAATGTATCCTAACCCATCAAAGCTTAAGAAATCCAAACCTGAAGCCAAATTATGGAAGATCTCTCAGCCAATACGTTCCGTATATGCTTTCCCTCTGTCTGCAACAAGGACTGACGATGAAAAGAAAAAAAACATCGTCTTCTTATTCTTTGTTCATTTGGACTGATATGGATCTAATTTGGGTCAATCCATACTGAAGCCAATCCAATAGTAGGTTTTCATATAACTAACTATGAGGACAAGAAATCATACTAAAGATTCAGATTGTTTAGTTATTCATTATTGCAAATATCATTCGGGCTCTTCAAGTGAAAAACTAAAAGGGGGAGAAGAACTTTGATTTGGGGAAGAGACCAACATAGGAAGATCAATTGTAGAGTGAAAAAGGAGGAGGACAACCCCCTCCTAAAAAGTATTAATAATCGAATAGAACTCTTAATTATACTCTTAGCATAGGCCCCTCATTGTAGAACCTCCCCACTAATATGATCATAATGTCTCAAAATACATACAAAATGAATCAATTCCAATTATAGTCTAAAATTTTGATAATATCGCCAATATTTTGGCAATATAATAGTTTTTTTGAAGCCCCGATATTTTGGCAATATCCCATGCATTTATCTTATAAATTTCGATTTTTCGGTGTTAATATCAAGAAGATAATTTCTATCATTCACAAGTTGACTTTGGGCAATATATCGCCGATATATCTCCATATTGCCAATTTATTACCACTCATCTCAAGTAATTTTGTAAATTATATCGCTAATATAATTTTGTAAATTTATACATATATTATATAAATTCCTCTTATTTATTATTGTCATGTATCTTTACATTTGTTACTCTACATGTGTTATTCTTAACCTACATAATAGTATATAAACCTTTTTTTATTACTCATACTATTCATTTTTTAAGTTATTGCATTGTCAGCTCGCACCATACTCAACTTAAATCACTTAAACCCATCATCCAATGTATTTTCTTCAATTTTTGTGTCAAAACAATTTTTCCGTTTGTTGTCGCACCATTTTCCTTTGCCTAAATCCCAAAATCCCTAGCTATTTTAAACCCTAATCGACAAATAACCTCTTTTAGTTCCCCTCTTTGAGACAACACTCGCCCATCGCCACATCAGCACCATCACATGTGTGAATTGACCCACTTTCCTTGCCACAGAAGCTCATTTAACGGGTCAATGGGACAACGTTGAGTGGAGTGGGTAATTTTTAGACAGAATAGGAGATTTAAGTGCGGAAATTTCAGTTCAAAGGAGTTAAGTGAGACTGAGCTCAGAGTTCCAAAGGCTAAAACAGTACATAAGCCTTACTAGAAAGACAAATAGAGATTGCAAGGATAGAGAGTTGTGGATTTATGAAGCCCAACGCATGTGTAAGAGACACGGGCCAAGGGAGGTGTAAGAGCCGCAGGGACTACTTCCACTCTTTTTGGGAGACGGACGACATATCGTGTGAGTTGCATTAAAACTAAACGAACGACATGTCGTGGAAATATAATGGGGGTGGTGGACCCAACCCGAAGTAAAAAAAAAAAAAAAAAACAGATAAAAAGAAGAAAATTTTCAGCCATCGTCTTTCCTATTTGGGTTTGACGACCTTTTGGACCTTTGGACCTTTGGACCTCTGGCATATTAACATCAGCAATTACAAACCTTTGCTGTCTAAAACCCTTGAGCTAAACAAAACCTTGCCAAAAGTCACACTCAGAAACCCCACTCTCTCGTCTCTACCACTTCCTCCTTCATTTTCCCGCCATTTTTTCCTTCCCAAATACCCACTGCCATTAGGAAACGAAACCTAGCTGGAGTCTCTCACGCTGAGAGATCGCCGGGTTCGTAATCGGAGCTCCGGTGGCTTCCGATGGTGATTTCCAGAGACGTCCAAGAGATTATCTTAAAGCTCTCGTCCGATAAAGCCAGGACACGAGAAGTATTTATCTCCTACTCTCTCACCGATATTTCTTTCCCCTCCGTTTGGTCGCCTGGAAAATGCAATACTACGAAAATAAAACGAAATTATTAGACTGATAATAAATAATTTCAGGATTGTGAAGTACTGTATAACCTTAACCCTAATCGTTATAGTAGCGCTTTTTGGTAAGTAGGTGTTTCTGTTTATGGAATGCGAACTTGGAAATTTATTGGTGACCAAGAGGATCCATGTACGTCTATTCTGTGTAATTATGATAACGGAGAAGCTTAATGTGTGCTTAATTGTTCTAAAGTTTAACATGGAATCCGAGACCAATCAGGTCAAAATGCTGTCTGAACTTTAGGCTTCAAATGAGAGAATTCATTCTGAAATTTTGTGTTTAAGAATGATTCTGAACTACTGAGTTGTTGGTTCTTTTGCGTTTTTGTTGTTTTCTTTGCTGCTTAACACAGTATTACTTTCATTGACCAAAAAAAAACACAGTATTATTTTCTTGTTTCACGGAAATCATTGTGTGATCAAGATTTTGATGTATCTACAGGAAGGGATAAAGTTGTTGAATATATGGTTAGAAGGAGAAAGATCGATTGGTTTCTGTAAATATCTTGGAAAGAACACTGCAGAGCTTATACCAAATGAGATTCCTCAATGTATGATGAAGATTTATTCACGAAAAATGCAGTTTCTCTCGTATTATATAAATAATCATTGAAAAAGTGAACGCACACTGTTTTTATTGTTATTGCAGCTGAAACCTGGCCTTTTTTCACTAATATGCTCATTCAGTGCGCTTCGTTGGAGATATCCTCAAGCAAGCGACCAAAGTTGATATTTGCAAAGACTCTACGGGTAGTGGTTCAGCGAGCAGAGGATGATAATTTTTCAGGTATTAAAGAGAGCCAAGAGATTAAGTTTTGAAGTGATAGAGAGAGTGTGATTAAGCATTTTACATCTAACTATGCTTGTTTTCATCATCATTTCAGGCAAGCCGTTGCCATTGTTACCTGTGGTTAAAAATCTTTTTAATCATATATGGGAGGTTGTAAAAAATGTCACAAGCTTTCAATCGGAATATGGGATTGTTCTCCGGCATCTATTGGCTGTCAGAGATTATCGATTTCACATGAGGAAGGACATCTATTGCAGTGAGTCATTCTTTTGACGAAATAACCTTGAGTACATATCTCTTCTTGAATGTTATATAAAACTGTTGTTGCTCAATTTTTTAAATATCTTATTCTGCATTGATAAGAGCTGGTGAAAAAGTACATGAAGTTGGTAGAGGACAGCTGGGGTGGTAAGAATGATAATCAATATCATCCCAAGGAGGAGGTCTTTCGCTGCATTCTTACACTCCATGCGCTTTTGGAGAATCCGCCTGGAGATTTCCCACATAATCTCAGGGAAGACATTGTTAAGCGTTTTGTCAAAATTTTCTGTTTCATTAGGTAACTCTCTCTCTCTCTCTCTCTCTCTCTCTCTCTCTCCCCCACCTCCTGCGTTGATGTGGCCTAATGTTCAACATTCACCTTCTATGTTCATTATGATGGAGTACATGCTGTTTTTCGTGTTGTATCTTGCCCAGGGATGAGGGAAAGATTTCGCGAAAACTTATTGAGTGTATCAATACATTTTTGATAAAAGATGGTCCAAATTTGGATTGTGAATCCTTGGAGATCCATAATGCCGTGCAGCAATTTGTGTTCCGGTGTTGGCTGACAACCCATGATCGAGCCCTTAAGGTTTTTAATGCATTTCAAAGAAATTTCGGCAGTTTATTTATATGTATTTGAGTATCCTGATTGCTATCTGTGTTTGCATTTGTATTTTTTTCTTTTGCAGGATGTACTTATTCTTTATGCAAGGTTACAGCTGAATATTACTAGAGGTGCTACTGATGGGAGCATTTTGGTACATCAACTTCTAGACATAGTTTACAAGGAGCTAGATCAAAGCTATATATCCAATGCTAATGTGCCTAGGTGGGTTTTTTCTTTTTCCTTTCCACTCTTTTTTTTCCTTGTTATTATAAACTTTTTTTTTTTTTTTTTACTTTTCCTCTTATGGTATTCCTGATAGAAGCTTACGTTTGTGGTTTCAATAGATGATCATGTAAAACTTTCTCTATGTGCAGGACTGATGGAACTAAAGATGACAAGTTTGGTACTTTGAGTAGCTCACATTGTGGTCTGGTTGAGCTTGCAGCCGCTGTACTTTATCGGGTAACTACTCCACTTTCATCTCATAGTGGAACTTGCCTAATCTTAATATCTTCACTGTGGTTTCGCAAATTTCTTTACAATGATTTGGATTTTTATTTTTGGGTTCCATCCTTCAAAGCTTATGTCGACATTGCCAAAGTTCTGCTAGTTTTTGTCGGTTTGCTTTAAGGCAATATTCCAATTCTTAATATGTATGAAATTATGAATTCCACACTCCTGTATATGTTGCTTCAATTTTGGAAAAAGTGGTTTAAGGTGGAGTGAGGTTGGAGTAGGTCTTGAGTGCAAGTTTTGTTTCTCAAACAACTGATTTAAACACTTGGAGAAGCAGAAAATTTGTTGCACTTTTTCTCCTTTGCTTTCTTGAGACTGATGATCCTGGTTTATGGCTGTTCTCCTTTTTTGCATCTCATATTTTTCCTTTTCAATGAAGTTCTTGTTTCCTATAAAAAAAACATAAAAAAGGCAATTTCACTCTTCAGGCTTGTACTAACATGACTAAAGCACCATCAACTGAAAAGCGGGTCAAGGGAGAGCATGCTGCTGCCCATTTAAGAGAGGCTCTCATGAAAGGAAAATGGTTGTGGTAAGTTTAGGCTGACTGTTTATGTTTGTAGTTTAGTTTCTTTGTGTAGTATCTTGTGCACAGGCTCTATCTGTGGATGATACTGCACTTCCTTCAGTGTAAAACAATTTTCTATAATGTAATGTGGATGATAAACTATTGTTTGGCACTGATGCTTATGATGGGCTGGTTTAATGATTTCAGGAATGCTTCATTTTGTTTTCTGACTCGTAAATACCACACACGTATTAGTAAGGATATTTTCATCTACTGGTTCGAGGGCATATGCACAAGCTTTCAAAGGTACATCATGCCATGTTATAGTTAGTTATAATTGTCTCATTATCTAGTGTTAATCAAACTAATGTTTATTCTGATCTCTCTCTCTCTCTCTCTCTCTCTTAACTTCTTATAATAAAACTTTACTGAAAACCAAGTTCTTATAATTTTGACATATGAATTTGGAACCTGGAATGCTCCTCTTTAATTGTTGTTATACTACTTTGGAGTCTTGTACCTGGTTTGTTCTAAGTTAGATCCTGTGCCATATATTTGTTATCCAGTATATATATGTATACTATATATGCACATTATTTAGGGAAAAAAATACAAACTCCTTGAAATGTGTGGCTGTGTTGGATCAAGGTTTGATCCTGTTTGCCTCTAGAATGAAAGTTGTGTCTCTATGTGGCAACAATTGCCGTTGTTGCGTGTATATGCAATTCAAATTACACTTTTGGGTTGAGTGTCTATGCACATTTGTGTAGTTAAGTGTTTCTTGACTAGATATCTTCTTAAGTTTGAGTATTCCTGCATGCTTGTGTAGGCAATTACTATTGGACAGTGAGTTGACTCAAGTGTAAAATGTTTCACTTCTGGCCCATACCTGTGGTATACTTGTTAGCACACTGAATAAAATGGTGAAGCTGCTTATGTTTTGATCACTATTGTACTGATGGAATTGAACATATTGCAGAATTTTGAATGATGCAAATATGGTGCATGCTTATGATGGTTTGCTCTGGACCCTGAGGTATACTGCTCTTATTTCCCATAAGACATCTACTATTCAGTTGAATTTTGTTAAAGTGTATAGCCAGTGTGTATAAGTTTGATAAAAGTGTGACACCTGTGGTCCATTTCAATATGACTGTGCCATATATGGTTCTAATCTAAGTTTAATATTGTTATGTCTGCACAAACATCTACCGGAAAATAAGATATGGATGACAACTTTACGTTCTTCTCTCTACTTCTTTATCCCTTGCTTCATGTGCACTCATATTTATGTACTTACTTGCATGTGAAGGAGCTTGCAGGAACTCTCTTCTGTGTTGCTTTCAGATCCGAAGCTGAAGAAGCCATCAAGCTCCTCGTGCTTGAATGAGGTGCTTCTTCTTCTTCTTCTTCTTTCAAATTTTTTTTTTTTTGCAGATCAATGTTTTCTTTTTACAGCTTTTCATTCTTTTTTGTGTTACCCCTTTCCAGATTTAAGCCTGTCATCTTTCAAGAGGTTCAATTGAAAGATTGTTTTTAACTACAGTATTTAAGCTACAGTTAATCATTGTGAAAAAGTAACATAAACTGAGATGAGTGGAAATCTGATTATCCATCCTTTGTCCAACTGAATGAACCCTGGGTTTGTACTATCGTAAGTTTGTTAGTGCTTTCTTCAGGGACTCTGCAAATATCAGTAGTATGTATGGAATTGGTTCTGATAGGGTTGGAGTTTCCTCTTTACAATTAATTTTTCTAGGAGCACGTTACATAAATGGCTAAAGAAGTACTTGCTAAATGATTTCAACTTTAGGTGGTGTCTCACTTTTAAAAATTTACTGCACCGGGGTTGTGGGGGATCAAGAGAGTCAACTTTATTCTTTATGTACTGCTGCTATCATTAATATTATTTCCTGTAATTGGTATTTGAATTGACTGGATTGCTGGACAATATTTTGCAGTTCGATTGTGGTTGGCAAGTTGTGTGGACTTGCCTGATGCAGGGGTTGCCATTGTTCAGTAATGTAACTCCAGTTGTAAGTCTCGGTTCTTTCTCTTTGATAGGAAACACATTTATAAATTTTGTTTTTGAAATAAAGCTTGTATAAAGACAAGACACCCAAGATATGCATCAATGCTTGCTCCACAAATCAGAAAAAATTAGAGGAAATTTTAATCAGCTTACAACTCCAACCAATCAAGCTGAATTAAGTTGGCTTTCTGTTCTCTTCAAACATATTTGTATTTTCAGCTGAGTTATGGATATACATTTCTATGTTTCTCCTCCATGGTTCTGTAATTACATATCTGGTACATCTTCGCCTCTGTTTTGCTGGAAAGTTTTCTGTTTGCCTTATATTGTTCTGTTGTCTGCAAGAAATTTAAGGTGCTCCAATCAGCTTATATTAGTTTTTAACTCACAGGATTATTTTTTGGCATCACTAAAAAGTTTAAAAACATTTGACTTGGGTTCCAATAACTGTTAAATGTGTCGGACATGGTAGCTTTATTCTCAACTTTTTTTCATAGTATACTCTGTTGTTCATTATATTCTGAAATTCCCTTTAGCACACATTAAGACACACATAGCCTAAGTTTTAATGGAATTAGGTAAATCTAACAAGATGTTTATAGTATCTTTTGGAATTAGGGAATGAATATGTTGAAAATCTCAAGATGTTTATAGTATATTCTCAAGTTACTTTTGGAACTTCTGAACTTCTGTCAAGATTTTGCTTTTTGTTCATTTTGTGTGCCTTTGTGCAGGTAGATGCTGCTATGGTGCTCCTTGGAAACATAATATCAAATGTGAGTGTGACAACGTGTGTTCTTCAGACTGTTCTCTAATATTTTATGCAGTTAGGTACTGTCACTTGTATAAATTTGCTCTAAAGTCTTCTTAATTCACACTTTCTCTTTCCAGGATCTTATATACACATGTGTTGTACCTCAGGATGTTTGGGATCTTAGGTTATTTAAACAAATGCCATCAGTGTAAGTGCATGCATTGCCTGTCAATTAAATTACTATGATGACCTATATGTGATGCTGTTCTTGTGATGCAGGTTGCCTAATTGTATGATTATGATTTTATTTCAGGTCTGTCTTGTATTTTATTTCGTGTTACTTCTCAAAGAAAGTTTCACAAGTAAGTGGGTGATTTGTAGCCTTGTTTGTCTCCTTATATAACCATTTGTTTCATTATTACCTCTACCTGTAAAACATGCAAGCAAGTGTATTTCATCTAGTTTCTTGAAAGGCATTTGAAATTGCCTTCATCATAGTGAACATTACAAGATAGACAAATTAAGTTCCATCATATTTGTAGCCTTTTTTTTCTACTTATATAACCATCCTCATGTTTGTGTAGGGTGATGTTCGAGACATTTTACATCTGAGAAAAAACCTCCTGAGATCAGTTTTGGGTCAACTTAAATGGATGGTATTATTACTTTAATTTTAATTGAATATGTGGTATTCTTAGTTCTTCAATTAATCTTGTTTTTGTTAGAACCTGTGTGAATTGGCAGTGTTTACTCACATATCATATATGACCAGAAGGTCCGGAGTGAAGTTTTTCCTATACTCTCTAGTAATGAGAATGTTATTGATTCCAAAATGCATTGGAACACTGTTCAATTGAGACTGTTTGTTACCAACAATGGTTTAGTTGAATGGTGAGGCCTGTGGTTTGGCATTCGATTCCTCTAGGCACCTATCTAAGCCGAGTCTGTAAAGTTGAAAATAATGAAACTGAGACTGTTTGTCATATGCCTCGAAGGTGTCATGGAAACAAACTAAAGCTGTAGGAATTTTTGAATATGGTAGTTTATTCAAGGAAGCCTTGTATCTCACTTGCCTTATTACAAAAATCATAGCTGACTCGGGGCTTTTCACTTATATGATGCAATGGAACCCAAGTTGTGTGAAGTTCCCTTATATGATTCCATGGAGCCTCTGTTAATTCACCCCTTTGAAGTGCACATGCTTTCAACTTGCTAAAATTTGTAGTTAGAAGTCATATTTTTGTCAAGTTATAAACTGGTTTTTCTTGTGCAGGAGTCTTCTGTGCTTAATGAGCAGTTGGTGTTATTGTTACCTGCAACTGTTTATTCTTTGTGTGCTGGTGGTGCTCCTTTTGCTCAATGCTGTAAAGAGCTTCCTCTATCTTACTCTTTTGTAGATGTTACTGAGGCTTCAGAGAAGGTATGTGCTAATTCACCTTGGTTTTCATTTGGATTTTGAATGTCACTGTACTTGTTGGCGTCCAATTGGTCTGAAACTAGATTTTCCATTCCTGATTATAGCCAGAAGAACCTGAGCACGATTGTCTGCATGGGCTATTTGACTGCACTGTGGAAGTTCTCGCTAATATTGATCCCAGCTCTAGCGTTGAGGTACTCGAATATTAATTTTATAAGCACCCCATTTGTTGGGATTGATTAATTTCATATATTTTTTGAGACATTATGGTCATATTCAGGTTTTCCCCTCCCAAACCCATCCAAGTGTATGGCTCCCCACGCAGATAAGGGATCCACTGCTTTTTGAGATGGAGACCCTTATTCTTGAAGCTCTAGTAGACAAGGAGATGGGAAAGAGACCTCTATCTGATGCATTCTTTATATGTGCTCTATTGTCAAACTTCATCTATGGTTCAGTCTTGACGAGGTTTGTTTCATCTTCTTGTCTACATTTGTATTTGATAATAACATGTTCGTATCGGTTGTTGGCTTTGTTAATAGGATAAATATCTTCTTACCATTGAAGACATCTATGTTTTACGAAGTACTTCTTTTGCTAAGTAAAATAGTTCACTATTCACTAGTAGGCGTTTGTAGTTTGATGCTCGACTTGACATGCATATGTTCTGGCTGTCTTTATGAGTTTTTCCTGCATTTGAGTCAGTGTTGCACTTGTGGGCCGCATAGTGTACTTCTGGGGTTGTAGACATGTTATGTTCAACACTGTGCAGTATACCCTTTATGTCTACATACTGATCCTGATTCCAGATGTTGTGTCTGTTATGCCATGCTGTGAAAATTTGCAGTTGAAACTATTTCACATGGTGGTTGAATTTATAGATTTTGCGGACATCGACATCTGACCTTTACCTTTATATTGCTGGCTGTTTTTTATTCTTCGCATGCTCTACCTTGTTTATACCATACCTGCTTTGGTTTATTCCAGGCAAAGAGAGGAAGCTTCATCATTCCTTTCAAAATTGGGCCAATACCTTTTAGAATGGCTCAACTGTGCAGTTCATGTCACCCAAGGAAACCACAATGATTTTCTGGCTCTTGGTTGCTTGGGCTCTGACTTTGCCTCTAATGGAACAAGCTCTATTGTTGCTTCCTTAAGGAGTTTTGTTTACTCCCCTATCTTCAGTAGGTGGAAAGATCAAAATCATGTGGATGTTGAACTTTATGGTTCCATCATCCAATTGATGGAGAGGCTTTTAAAAGCACTGGCTAAGGTGTATGAAGTTTACGGTAATGGTGTAAGTAGTCATAAGTATGATGTGGCCCTGCAAGACTTATCAGCATGTGATACCCAACTACAAAATTCTTGTCCTTCTGGTAGCCAGAAAAGTAGGATTGTGGACATGGAGTTGGATGTTAATGAAGATTCCAGAGATGTGGATGTATTAACTGTTGGTGGTAAAATTGCCAGTAGGGTATCCTCTTCTGTAGAGAAATGGAAGCTGGACATGATATTGCTTATTTCACATTTTTTCCCAGTTTTACACGTTACCTGGGATGTCCTGTTTGAACTCCTGTTGAAAGAAAGTGATCAAATGGTATCACCCACTTCTCTTCTCCACATATGTTTGATATTCTGAAATCCATGCATGTAATAATCGCATCCCTTTTGATTTCATTTTTCTTTATATCAACTCAGGTGCGGGAAAAAATTCTACTTAGTCTTTGTCAACATCCATACTGGTCATCTCCTGAAAATGTTACAGACATGGTAATTAATAACTCCTCTGAATTTAGGTTACTGATTTACAAGATGGCTAGGTATTTAATGGTTTAATTTCAAAATAGAGTTTGATGGATCATGGGTTTATACTTGCCTTGTTTGCAGGTCAGTTTAATGAATGAAATGGTTAAGATGAAAGTCAGTCTTAAACTTGATTGTGTTAAGATATTATCTGCCATTCGTGGTTTGCTGGGCACTTTATCATCCTTGGACTCTATCAGGAAGGATAAATTTGTCATTGTCTCATTGGGGCAAAGAGGATCTAAGCAGGTACTTTCAAACTTTTCTTGCTCGATTTTACAATAAAAATGAAGACTGTTTGATACTTGCTCTCTTTCTTTTAATTTGTGGATTGTCTTCCTATGCACTTAACCTTTTCTCTTGATAAAGTTTTGTTTCTTATATAAATACATAAGTGCAGTATCAGAAAATAGTCATTAAGTTTTATGCACTCTTTCTTTATATGAAAGTAAAGTAAAACAAAGTGACTTCCATTCTCGATAATAAAAAGTCTATAAATTTAGAAACATAGCACAACACTATTTGTGAAGCATAAGTCAGAAAACAAATCTTGATGAAAGCTACTCCCTTCATGCCCTGTACAGGCAGCCAATTATCTGCTACTGCATTTCAATCATGCAATTCATAAAAAAACCTTATTATAGTTTGCACATGTCCTGTATAGCAACTCATACATTTTTTTTCCTAGCTACGTATCTTGTCAATTTCTTTTTTGTTTGTTTGTTTATATTTTTTTCTTGAAAAGAAAGCCAATGCTGTTGTATTGTGTATTATGCTCCTCGCATGAAGAAATCATCATGATAATCATTCCTTTCCATGGTTGTTGCAAGAGTTAATTGTATTCTTTCACTGAATAACTTTTTATTTCATTTTTTAAATCTCAGAACTTGATGCATCTTGGAGATGTGGTGAACAAAGTTGCTGAATGTGATCTTCTTGACTGGTTTGGACGTGCCAAGCTAATTAATTGCATATGCGATTTTGTTTTACTTAGTCCTCAAATTGGTCAGGTGATTTATTTCTCAATTACAAATTTACCTATGGTTAAGCTCTGGAGCATTTTGCAGAAGAAGGGGGAAATGAATTCACATGTGATGATGAGTTGTTATTATAAGTTTTAAATGTCCACCAAGTGTCCAATGCATACGAGTGGAAATATGAATTCACATGTGATGATGGCTTGTTATTATAAGTTTTAAATGTCCACCAAGTGTCCAATACCTGATGACATGGACCGGGTGGGGATCACTGATAAAGGGGTTCAGGGGACAAATTCTGGTTCTGCAAGTCCTATTTGTCCTGAGGTTTTGCGTAGCGTAGGCATGAGAGTTTCTCCCAGGGGTCACAAGGGGAGATTTTCGGCATTAGGGAGTCAGGAGTTGGACCATCTAAGGTTGTAACCTAGTAGTTCATAATGGGTCTCTAAAGGCAGGAAATATCGATGAATTTTCTAGGGAGGTGGACAAAGAAGAGGGACAGAGTGTTGTTAGAGGGAAACAATGGGACAAGTTGGAGGAACTGTTGAATTGAATATGGTTGGAAGTGGTTAACTGTGGTAGTCTTGACAGAAAAGAGGTTGGTTGGTGATCTCACCCAATGAAATTTTTTAGTTAGAGTGGTTTTTAAGGATCTTTGGGTGAAAGAAACTTCTGAGTCCTGACTAAGTGGTTTTTGTGGAAACTCGGATGGAGCAGGTTGATAGGAGGTTGTGGGGAGCTTATGTGGTGTCAGGTATGGTGTGTGCAGGGGAATTTTAATGTGGTAATATTTAACTACAAAAACTCAACTGGTGGTCAATTAGGATTCCTTGGATTGGTCTGCCATTTTAGTTTAGGTGAGTCTGTTTGGTCCAATTTGGTGTGGGTTTTAAGTTGTATTTTGGGTGTTTGATTTGAATGGACTCCTTGTCCATCTTGTTTTTTAGGTACTAATTTATTATATCTTCAATTTTTATTTTCTTGTCAAAAAGAAAAAGATTGTGTGAAAATTTGCCATTGCTTAATATGGTATTGGCTCCTTACCAAGCGTTTATGGTGTTATTTTGGGCAAGTGTACCTTTTGGATGTTAATAGGCACCTCAGTTCAGTTGCTTGCTCTTGGAATGCTTACTCTGTCTTAATTATCAGGAATAACTTTCTATTATTCTTTCCATCTATTCTTATGTTGAATGGTTGCTGTGGTGTAACTCTTTTACCAGACACTGATTGAAAGGTTGTTGTTGATGCTCCAAGATCCTGATTATCGAGTCCGGTTCTCCCTGGCCAGACGAATTGATGTTCTTTTCCAAACATGGGATGGACATGAGGAATTATTCCATGATATCTGGTGAGTTTGGACTTAAAAATATTTTCATATCATGCTGACTATGATTATTTGTGGCGCTTGTTTGTATTCTTCTCAACAAATCTTGCCTACCCCACCTTAACTTGAAAAGGGTACAACTGACATTAATGCTCTGAATGTCCTACATTCTATTTTATTTATTGTAAGTTCCCTCTTGGGGGCTTTACATTGCCTACTTTTTATATTAACATAAAGTATTTTTATTTGCTAACATCTATTTGTGCTTGTTATTCTAGTTCCAACTTTGGTGTGTTGTTGGTGTTTCCCTCAAAAGAAAAACTTGTTGCTGCAAGTGAGGTCGTAGCTGTCGGTCCACAGCCTCGTCCCACAATGGAAACTGTTATTATCACTCTTATGCATCTTGCTTTGCATAGTGAGAAAATAGAGTTTGAGGTATATATGCTGACTTTCTTTATTTAAATTGTTCTCCCAGATGATAAAAATAACTTTGCATGCAAAGCAAAGAAGAACGTTGTGTGTGCAAAAGTTAAAAAAAAACAAAAACCAAAAAGGAAGAAGAATCCAAAGTAAGTGAAATGTGGGTGAATGCGGGACAATTAAAACTGCACATCTACCAATCAGGTCCATTATGTTATTAATAGACTGTAGTCACTCTATATAAAGTATTTGCGACATACCCAAAGTTGTCAACCTTGCTAAAGTCATCTTAAATTCTACGGAGTACGGAGTAGCGCTATTTTTGTCTTTTATTTTTTTATTAGAACCAGTCAATCTGGCTAAACACATTCTCAACTGCTGCATACCATGTGTGCACATATTATAGTGTTCAGATGGATGGAAGGTGCTTAGAATAGAATTTACAGTGTATGTGTGTGCATGTGTTTTATTTCATTTCCCTTTTTCTTTATGGAAAGGTGTAGAAGTGGCTACTAAGAATCCTTAGAACTAGTTTTAATTTCTGTTAGGTTGGAATGGAGTAAGCAGAATTGATTCAAAAATGTCATTGGTCTTTTAGAATTCATTTGTATATGGATTAAATTTGTTTGGTTTATGACGTTGTAAGAAGCTGTTTTGTTGTGCATTTGTATTCATTTGGTAATCTCCATGGCACATGCAGGCTGTGTTCATGATATGTGTGGTTTCTGCTATTGATCCTGGTCAGAGGTACAATATCTGCACTATCTTTTCTTTTATTTTTTTGAAAAGGAGAAATTTTATTTCATAAAAAAAACCATACAGAAAAGTGGATAAGTAATCCACCAATAACAGAAAGAAACAAGAAAACTAGTACAGAGATCTACAACTAGAGAAAAAAACCAATCCTAATCAAGACACTGCAGCCTTCCAATCAAGCAATATATTTGCACTATTATGATGTATTGTTTTTTTCATTTTATATTTCTTTGATCTGTAAAGATTTTCCTTTCCCCTCCTTTCAGGGAACTGGTTGTCGCAGTACTTGATAATCTCTCCAGGCAGCTGCATTATACAACTAGGTTTAAGGTAATAATTGTAGTTCTCTCCTTGCATTATTACTATAATTATTATTATGATTATTTTGTTGGGTAATTCCAGAATGGTGCCAATTCTTTGCTTAGCGAAATTCATGCTTCTTTTAGGAAAGTTAAGAAGGCTAGTTCGTTCTGGGGTTGCTGCAGGTTTGGCTTTTTTTGTGGGTGATATGGATGGAGAGGGACAGGAGGATATTTGACAATATAAGGGTTTAGGGCATTTGGTGTAGCAAACAGTTTGCACAAGTTATTTGTTCATAACAACAATCATCTTGAACAAATTAAGACTTTCAATAATCTGAAACTTCAGTTACTTAACCAAATAATACATTGTATATAGTTGAGGTCTCCAAATTTCTTTTGCAGTACTTGGAAGAGCTTATGGGATCAATTCTCTTTTGTTGGATTGCTTGTGGTGTAAGCCTTGCTGCTCTTGTTGAGGTAATGTGCTCATTTGTCCACTGATCTTATTTATTTTGTTTCAATTGTGTGAATGACCTGCAGAAATTGTAGGTTCCTTTATTCTCCAAAATTATGTAGGGAATCTTGCTAATAAATTTGGGTAAAGGACATATTTTGCAGCCAAACTTGTTATTGATATGGATTTTCCTGAATGATTCGTTAAGACGAAGGAGAGCTTTTTAACTAGTTGGGGTTTAGTGCAATAGCTTACACAAAATGGTGTGTTAACTATCGGGAACTTACTGATAAGGAATGGCTTTCTTATGTAAATGGTTGTGGAGATTCACTCTTGAGTAGGATTCAGTTTGATGTTTTGTTTTTAAAACTACTGAGTACAGTAGAACGGGTGGAATTCCAGGATTGTGAAGCAAGTTTCTTTGTCCTTGGAAATTCATCTTTCACAGTTATCCTTCCTTCTTCTAAGTGGTCCAAGGGGTGCCTTTAGAGTGACGTTTATCAAGGAGATTCATCCTAAGACCAAATACTTGTTTATTGCCTGATATCTGCGTTTTGTGCTATTAAAATGTGGACTCTAGATTATAAAATTTCGAATTGCTCTCACCTATCAAATTTGGAGAAGCTGCTACAAGTGTTTGGAGTTGTGGGTATTTTGTCTGGAGATTACTTCTTTTTGGCAGAGGATATTTTGGGGCTGATGCTCAGAAGAAGGCGATCCTTCTTTGGCAGTTCAGTCTTGTCAGTTTTTTGGCTTGTTGGGATGGAAAGAAATGACAGGATTTTTTAGGATAAGTGGAGGAGAGGGATTTTCTTTGGAAAAGGAGCAGATTTTTAGCGTCCTTGTGGCCTTCATTGCCCCCTTTAGCTTGATTTGTTTGGATTGTGTTGGAGTTTTGACTTAATTGTACTGTTTCTGCTGAAAGTTTGTTGGTAGACTATTTTTTTAGGTTGACAATTTGGCCTCCTTTCTTTACTTTTTATCTTTATTTAAGTTAATGTTTGTTACCAAAAAAACTAGAATAGTACTAACGATGTTAGTGTCATTGCCTTGACTATCTTGTTGGTTGCTGATAGTGTAATTTGTTGTGTTCTTTTTTTTAAAAGTTCAACTTTTATTTTAGATTTGACGCTGCTAATGTTTGTAGCTTATGCATTTAAGACAATTACATGTGACGGTGTGTGTTCTACAAACCATTGTGGGTGTGCCTTCACAATTAGCTTTTTGTGTTACCTGGTACTGCATTGTCAGACCAACTGTTGCGTAGGAATATCATATCCATAAATGTCCAATCTGATTAGTTGACAATTTACCTTTGCAGATAAGGCAATTATTTGTATCAGATTCCGAACCTAGTTATTTCATGCAGTATTGCTGCCATTGGCTTCTTCCAGCTCTACTTCTGCATGGGGATCACTGCAATCTCAGCTGGGTTGCTAAGGTAAGATGAATCTTGAACCTTCTTTCTCTCGCCCATTTGTTGGGTAACCTGTAAATTTCCAACCCTTGAGTAAATTTTAGCTGGGTTGTTAAGGTAAGATAAATTTTGAATTTTCTTTCCTTTCCCATTTGTTGGGAGACCTGTAAAATTTCCAACACTTACGTAGTTTTTCCTCAAAGTTTATCTGTGGTAGATGGATTAGCTAGGTTACAAGATTATTTCCCTATTCATCATCCATTATTTGTTGTCAACTCTTCGTTTCTTTTTTCTATATATATATATATATATGTATATATTTGCCGTCAACCCTTTTAAGTTGTTAGTCTCACAGGGTTATTTTATTCCAGATTGCTTGTCAACCTCTGGAAGTTCTGGTGAAAAATCACTTTGTGCAGATTTTTTCAGTTTGCATGGCATTGCATTGCAGTAAGAAATCTGGGTGGGAAAAGGGAGCAGATGTGCTTCAGAATTCAATTTTGCATCTTGCTCAGATATCCGAGAATGAACGAGACAAAATCATCAAGAAAAATATGGTTTGCTACTGATTCTATGGATTCAATTGGGTTTTGGATTGATTGCCCTACCTTTCACACACACACACACACACACGCACACGCACACACACATTTATATATATATCGTATTTTTTGGTTCATCAGAATTAACTAGATGGTTTTAATCTCTTATAGTTGTTCTTCCTTGGCACATTTATAGGTATCTATTGTCAGCCACATTCTGTCTCTTTCCTCGTCTGCATCAAACCCTGCAGTTCCATTCTTTTCCAGGGACACGATTGCACGTGCAATTCAGACAGTTGTTGACGGATTTTTGGAGATGTACACTATTTTCTTTGATTTATTCGGTTTACATATCTGAAAATTCTAGCTTAAAATGTTTTCTTAATGACCCTATGTGTAGGGAGGATGATGCTACTAGTATCTGTGTTGTTGACAAGATAAACATTTTTCGCGCAGATAGGGTTTTCATGGTAAAATGCTATTTGGATATCTCCTTATGCCTATGATGGGATTCCCCTTATATTCAATTCTCTTGTTCAGTTGGCATGTTCAATGCATTTTGTGAAATGAATTGCTATTGTGGTTCTGCAGTTTATAGTGGAACTGCATCATAAGATTGCAGCAGCAACCCACCATAGGCATACATGTCACCGACTGACTGGAGTTGAGGTGCTTATAGATATTCTTGGGTATAGAGCTGCTGTTGCAAGCACTTCCAAGTAAGTTTACATTATCAGTATCCATCATTAGATAATTAAAACAATGTTTGGTCAAGCAATTCATACAAGCTTCTAATTAATTTGTTACTTGTGTGACTGGATTAGCATTTTCGAAAAAGAATGCAGATGCCTTTGCAGATTATAGTGGTGCACTTAAGTGGGCAGAGTTCCATTATTGTCCCCTATTTTTTCTAATGTTAAAGCAAATAATATGATATTTGTATCTTTTAATGGTGTTTGTGTGCAGTTCTCTTTCCATATAGGATGGAAGAGGAAAAGTGATGTTATGTTATATAATTTTAGTCCTTTTCCTATGTAGTGAAAACACTGAAAACTGAAATTTTTTGGACGTTTTTTAACTATATAATTTAATATGCACTTACTTTTGTGATTATTTGATGTTTGATGCAGTTATCTTTTCAATTTGGTTGGTCAATTCATTGGTTGCCGTGCTTTACAAGATCAATGCTGTCGTATCATTTCTGCATTGCTGAAAACTTTTAAAAGTAATCCATCCAAAGAAATTATCAGTGTTCTGGGTGAGCAACTTCAGGTCTGTTCCTTTATTGACTCTATATGTCTATCTTTTGTTCTGCATCCGCACATCTTCTCCCCTAGGGCCCCACCTTCAATACCCCATTTCCCCCCCAAAAAAAGACCCCTTTCAGTATTCTCTGCTACACTCATGTTGTGTTTTGATGCAGTTTTTAGTGTCAAAGTTGGTGGCATGTTGCATTCCCACTGAAGCTAAGGGAGAACAATCTGGCAGCAGATCATCCCAAGTCTTGTCTTTGCTCCTCGAGCTCACTGTGGATTCTGATCCATCTCTTTATGATTACATCAGAGTACCGTTTCTGACTTCTCAACAATGAAGTTTCACCTCTTAAATAGTCTTAATTTGGTTTTGGTGGAGTTATACCCTTTGATTTGTGTAATTTCTCTGTGGTAGGAATTGGAGCCCTTCCCTGAAATAGATATCTTTGATGGGATTCGGAAGTTCCATCAGGATTTATGCCGAGCTTACTCTCCACGAGATCATTTGTTGAAGGTATATGATATCGATTTTTGTATATACAATATGAAAATAATAGTTGGTCCTTATCCTACGCTAGTTTTGAGAGTGTAAACCTACAAATTTTTCATGGTTATTTGAACCGGGCATCATGAGTTCAAGTCTCTACAGATGCAACCTTCCAATTTATGTTGGATTCCATGTGTCAGGCTCTCTAGTGGTGGGAGAGAGTCCCATGATGGAGAGCGTTAATACATAAAAATTATAGTTCATCCACATTCTAACAGCTTAAGCTTTTGGAAATACTGGCAAACCAACAAAGTTCATCAGTGTAGATTTACTTTGCTTTTTATGAAATCCAAATATTGTTAAATATTTTCTCACTGATTGAATTATTTACTGTGACGTTTTTCAGTTTGTTAAGAGATCTTGCTACCTTCCGCCAAGATTACTTCTGTGGAGGTGGTTTCTCCTTCTTTTCTGTCTCTTCTGCGGTCTTGTGCTCTTAACCCTACATGTTGTCATTTGTTGAATGAAATTGCACAATCACTTTTGAGGAATATACTACAAAATTGTTTTGATGATTTTAATAACTGTTGAACTTTAAAATGTTTCAATTTTATTTCAGGAATTGTAATCCAATTCTTCTTACATTGCTTGTTGGTAATAAGATTCTCTGTGAACTTGGTACATTCTTGCAGTCTCCAAGCACTGCACAAGAAGTTTCTTTTGGGTGAGACATTTCAAAGTGAAAAGAATACATATTGGCATTGTGACCAGGAAATTATCAGTGCTGTCTGGACACTGGTCCGCATGTGTGGCTCGGATGATACAAATACTGTTAGAGTTTTGCTCTCTGATTTCATATCTAGGGTACGTCTGCTAGACTGATATTATCTCTTCTTCTGCCCATTGATCTCTGCAATAATACCTTTTCCTTTTCTTTTCCAAAAAATGCAGGTTGGTGTTGGGGATCCACATTGTGTTGTTTTTCGTCTTCCAGGAAACTCTAGTGATATCCATGTCTACCAACCTATTAGTCATGACTCTTCTACAGAAGTCAAATTTCCGATGGATACTGGCTTATCTGAAGAACTTGTGGTTGCACTTTTGAAACTTCTGAAAAAGTACCTGATGGATGATTCCGTTAAAATAGTTGATATGACATCTCAAGCTCTTCGGGTGAGTCTTTGGATGGCCATTTGACTTTGCCCTCTTTTCAAGTCTGTCAGACTTCATTCAATGACAACGTTGTCTTGACCACTTCATCTTAATTAATTTGATACCTGGTTACTGATATATTCATTATTGTTTAATTTTGTTTACCTTCCATACTTTAAGAGGACTAACAGCAAACTTATTATGAGTATGACTTATGGTAAGTGAAGAATTGTGGCACACTTCCTATGATTAAAGAGATCTTTAGGTTCCCCCTTCTAACCACAATCTTGATCACAACCTGTCTATGCTGGGCACATTCATTTCTATGCTGAAAAATTGGTGGTACCGAAGTTGAACTCTCTTAGCAATTCTTTATTGTGAATGGTCAATCATGATACAAGTTCAGGCTTAAGAAAAAAAATATATACCAGAATATAAGAAAATTGCTGTGATAGACAAGGGTGTATGCAAATTTGCAAGATTGAGGGAAGTATAAGTATGTAATATATTTGAATGATGTTAGTTTATTAAAGGGGAGGACCGAGTGAAATGTAAGGTAAGGTTAAGGTGAGGAGGAGGCAATATTTTCCTAAAGATATAAAATCCTTACAAGGTTGAGTCCGGGGCATTATGACTGTTTTGATTCGGTAAATATTATTGTCCATAGATTAGGTGCATGGATCCTACATTTGTATAAGATTGAAAATGATGAGCTTGGATGACTGTAATAGTCTAGTCTGCAAGTTTGTTGCTATATTACTGTTTCACTTAGCAAAATGCTTCAAGTGTGTGGGTTCTTGTCGTATGTATCGACTAGTTGAGCCTATACCTAGGTAAACTATTACTTCTTGTCCAGGAACTGTTTTTTTTTTTTAAACAATAAAACTATGCATGCTGTTGTTACTTATAGCATGAATTTTTATTTGCTAGTGGAACTTTAAATCTATTGTTTGCTCCCCCCCTCCTTTTCCCCATTCTTCTTTCTCTTTTTGGCTTTACTTGTTATAATCTGATGGTTTTTATGGGGTTCTATAATATGCTTTTTTCCTGGAAGCAGGGAATTCTTTCAACTCAAAGGGGTCAAAGTACTATGTTGTCATTTGATTCTTATGAGAGGTCTCTTATTGAGGTAACTATGCTTTTCTCTGTATTTTATTTTATTATACATTTTATTAGTTGTGGAGTTAAATTTTATACCTAGTTATAATACTGTGGATGATGTTATTTCAATGGAAAACTCGTGTAATTTATTCTTGTCTTCCAGGTTCACTCAAAGGGTGTCAATATTGAGTTGGTGGAGAAGCTCCTTTTCGATCTGGAAATTAAGTTTAAAGGTAACGCTGGTGCTGGTTTTTTATACGTATTCATTTCTGTTTAAAGTGATATTCAAAATTGTGGTTAATGTTATTTAAACTGTTTGTTAAAGGCTGTCTTAGTAGTGTTTAGTTGGGCTTCTTGATGCTTTCTGCTTCATGTGGCCCTAGGGATCCAGACGCAGCATGGGCTTCCTTTTTGTTTATCACTGGTTGTAAAATCTCACTGTTTTTTCATGCGTGAGTGACTGTGTGACGTCAACTCTCATGATACCTTCCAAGTTGCATCATGCTGATTTATACCTTCAATTTCGGATTCATATCATTTGTCACACCTCTTACTTGGTTTATTTGTTGTTGTGTGGTTCTCATTAATGGTTTTCCTGTTCAACATGTAATAGTTCCTTAAATTCATTTTCAGCTGAAGCAATTCCATTAGAGAATTCTACTGTATGGGTGACAGATGGTAAAACTTTCGATACATGGATTTGTCAACTTGTCTACTCACTAATTGGCTATTGCAGTGATGTGATTCTGAGGTATTATCTTTGATATCGTATGTTGTTAAGGGTTCATTGATCTAGATATGTTGGTCAGAATGGTTATCCTTTTTAGCTGCTTCTTTCAGATTATGTCAGGATGTTGTGTTGGCAAAAGCTGAAGTTGCCGAGCTTCTATTACCAAGCCTTGTTGTCAATCTTGCTGGAAGGAAGGATATGGATGTTGATCTCCTCAAATTAATCTCTTTGCAGGTTGAATCTGGAATGTATTTTGGTCTATTTTTAATTTTAGTGTGATGTTTCTCCATTTTGAGATTTGTAATTTCTCGTTTCTGCCATTTGTACATTAAAAGTTAAAACCATTAGTGGCATTAAGTTACCTTTTTGGTGCTTCATGTTTTGGAAGGTTTTCATTTTATGGGTGGCAGTAACTGAAAAATAGACTGTCTTTGTAGGAAACTTGTTTTGATTGTCTCTTAATTTTGGGGCAAGTGTTGTGTTGGGAGACTCTATTTCTTGTTTGGGAGGGGAACTTTTATTGGAAGAAACTTGGTGTTATTTCAGAGGAGTTGTGATGTGATTGAGACACCTATATGAGATTGAGAATGTGAGGCAGTTGAATGGGCTATTTCTTATTATTCATGCTATTCAGGATTGTAAATTTAGATGATTCGATGTGCTGGCTTAATCTAAAGACATGAATTGATTCAATGTTTTATAACTTAGTCCTCATTGAGTTATTTATTTTATTAGTTATCTATGTGAAAGCATTGCAGGTCTGTTTCCCCTCTGCTGTATCTTGTTCTTGTTATGCACATTGTTGATTTGATTGGTTGCCTATGTTTTGTATGCAGGTGCAGGAATATGTATTTACAGACTCTAATACGTTAATCAAATCAATTCAAATTTGGTTGAATGCCCTTAATGAACTTCGGTTATGTCATGTGATGCAAAGAACTTCTTTGTTGCCATCGAGGGCAGAAATTTCCAAGGTATTCTATGAAACTATTTTGTAGTTGCTTCTAATGATTTCATTTTTTTTAGTTTAAGTTTGTTTCAGATTGTTAAGTACTTTAGTGCCTTTTATTACCTTCTCTTCGCTTTCTCTTTCTTTTCTTTTTCTTTAAACAGTACAACGGAGTGGGCAAGATATATATGTGAGTGTGTGTGTTTTCTTTTGCATAGAAAGCAGAATAGTTGCAATAAAAAGGTGAAGAGTACAATCAAAGTGGACCAACAGTCTAAGAGAAACTCCTCTCATCCTAGAAAAACAGGACACCAGAAGTATAATACATGAAAAATATCTCAGAGTCAGACAAAAAACGCAAGCATCAAAATGAAAAATTAGAAACAGCAACTACCCAAGATACAGTCAATAATACAACACTCCTCTCCTACCAAGAAGGATTGCACTAAGGGGTAGTCAAATAGTTGGACGAAGAAACCCATAAAGATGCAAAAAGTCCAATCCGGTTCCTATCACAAATTCACTCCAAAGCTCTAAACCCAGTGGAAAAGATGTTCGCTGCAATATTACAAATTGCATTGCAACAGCACGATCATTCCTATTCCTGCCAAGAACTAAACTACTTACTAATCTAGGAAACAGCCTTCTTTCCCCTTTCACTTAACAAAGTGTGACATCCTTCTTCTTATTTTAATACCATTTTGGATATGAGAGATGGAGCCAAGAATAAGATTAAACGTATTTGTTGATGTTTGAGAAAAAGTTTTGAAGATAACCTTAAAATAAAATAATGTCTAAAATTTGAATTTTTTGGATATTTTCTGCTTGCATTTGATGCAGTTAAGTTTCTATAATATGTACGTTTAATAATAGATTAGACAATACTACGTTCTGCTGCTGCCAATTTTGAATCAAGTATGGGAGAGGTCTATTGGTCGTCTTGACAGTGATCTTTTACTAATTAAATCGTGCAAAGTATGTTTTTCATCCAAGTACTTTGGTCACAAGAATATTTCACATAGATGGCACTAATCTAATTATTACCTTTTGGGTTTGTAGAGTGCTAAGCCTTCTAGTTATAGCTCCAAATCCCGTTCCACCCCTGGAAAGGCTGGAGATTCAGCTCCTGCGTTAAGTGGAACGGCAATGGCGACGTCTTTATGGGACAAGGTATTGTGTTGTGCATATGTTCAAAGATATTCTGTTATCTGTTGCCTTACTTTCTGGAGTTAATTATGTTTAAATATTGTGTTTGGTTCAGTTTAAGGCTTGTTAAACATATTTTCTGAACCATTCTTTTTTCTTGTTATTTGTCTGATAATTTAAATATGTTCCCAGGTTTATTGGCTTTCTATTGATTATCTTATCGTCGCCAAGTCAGCAGTTGTGAGTTCTGAGCTGTTCCTACTTCATTTCTTTTTCTTATAATTTAATTCCAAGTCTCTGCCCAAACAACTTTCTTTAGTTAGTATCCATAAGTCCATAGCTTTGACAAGGATGTGTACTTCATAGATTTGTGGCAATTACTTTACTGCCGTGATGTACGTGGAGCATTGGTGTGAAGAGCATTTCAACAGCCTCACACTGGGGAGCCCAGATTTCTCTCACATTGAAGCGGTTAGTTCCACATATATAGTGAGCTTTGTACTTGTTTTCTAATGAGCTGATATGTTAGATCTTGTTTACAGTTGTGGTCTGTTGTAAAACAATATACAAAAATGGAAGATACATATGGTCCTTCCATATGGGAAGAATTGTTTGTTCTCCTGTTCTGTCTTGTCCTTCTGTTTAATCGGTGCTGCTTTTGACTTCCTCTTCCTGTTCTGTGTCTTTCTGCTCTTCAGTTGCCACATCATATTGAAATACTTGTCGCAGCCATCACTCAGATCAATGAACCTGACAGCTTATATGGGATCATCCAGTCACACAAGGTTAGCAAAAATTATGGTTTTGCAATGAGGTGAATTTATGCCTAGTTGTGTCTGTTATGTAGTCTTACCAATTATGACTATGGCCATCCAGTTTCATTTGAATCAGCAAATATTGAGAGCACCTTAGAATGTCTGAGATATTATATTCAGAACATAAGTATATTCTCATAGTAGTATTATTTTTTCTGGTTTTGTGGTGATGGCACTGAAAGCTGACCTCTCAAATCATTACCTTCGAGCATGAGGGAAACTGGAGCAAGGCCCTTGAGTATTATGACTTGCAAGTACGTTCAGCTTCCTTGGTACCAGTGGATTTTGGTTCCAGAAATTTATCACTGGAAGAGACTCAACCCACAGATCATTTATCCAATCCCACATTGGAAAATGCGATGAGGCAGAGGAAACCTTATAAAGGTCTGATTAGATCTTTGCAGCAAACTGGTTGTATGCATGTTCTAGATTTGTATTGCCAAGGATTGACAACTCGGAAGGGACACTTTCATCATGATCTGGAGTTTACTGAATTGCAGGTCTTCAATCTTAACTAGTTAAATATGCCTGATCAATGATATGTTTGGCTTTATGGTTAGCAAATTTTCTCGCTAGTTTAATGCTATAAGTACCATTTTTCTTGATGTTGTTGATCTACTATTTGCAGTATGAGGCTGCTTGGCGTACTGCAAACTGGGATTTCTCCTTACTTCACGTTGGGAATAATTCTATTTCATCAAGTATGCACATCAAAAGTGATCATTTTAATGAAAATTTGCATAGGTAAGAGACATTCGTGCCATACAAGTGAAGAAAACAAAACATATATGTTAGTCTTGAAGTATCTCAGACTCTTTGTTTATCCTTGTTAACGGTCAGTTGTTTGAGGGCTCTGAAAAAAGGAGATTTCAATGAGTTTCACGGAAAGCTGAAAAACTCAAAGCAGGTGATATGGGTCTCAACTTTGTCTCTCCTACAAACTCGACATTGTGTAATTTTACTTATGTTGTGTGTTCATATGTGTCAGGAGCTTGTGTGGTGTGTTTCTCGTGCTAGTGAAGAAAGTACTGAACACATATATTCAGCAATAATTAAGCTCCAGGTATGTGATAAACATAAAAGGCAGGTGCTCCTTAATATGTTCACTTTTGGCCTCCATTGCTGCTAAATTTTTGGAATTATGGATTACCTCTCTCAAGGAAAGAGGTTCATTCCAAATTTTAATTTGTAATTGAACGAAGACATTAAATTGGCATTACGTTCCAGATTTTGAATTCTATTGGATGACTCTGTTTGGATAGTTAGGTCTGATTTTAGTCATTCTTGATAGTAGCAACACATCTCGAAGATGTAGAGAGTTACATGGACAGCATTCTTTCGATCCTCACCAACTTCGGTGTCTATCAGTACTTTTTCCATGCTAATTATTGCGTTGGATGCAATACTTATAAATAGTTTAAATATGTAATTTTTGTCCATTACAAGGTTATTTTTTTTAATGATTTAATTTGTCGATTCATTATGCTTGGGTAAACCTAGACATGCCATGAGAACCAGAAAAAACCTGTTACATATTTTCAAGATTTTATTACCAAAAAAGAAGAAAAATCATACCTTTTTTTTTTTCCTTAAACTTATGTATCCTTGCGCAGATCCTTTATCATCTTGGCATGGCTTGGGATTTGCGTTGGACATCATCTCATTATGGTGAGGGTATAAATTCTTATCCAGAGATGGAAGAAGTGAATTCTGAACCTGTAATCCCTACCATAAATCAGGTATTACAATGATGGATGAAATCAATTAAGTAGCCATCATTTGTTTGTTGGTGGATGATCAGTACAAGTGGCTACAAAATGATACATGTGATAATCATGTTTCTAAATTATGTCGTACAATTATTGAAAATTAAATTAGTAATTTTTTTTTATAAAGTTAATCTCACTTCATACACCACTCTGGCACCAAAAATGAGGATTTAGTGGTTGGTAGTCCTGTTGACATTTCCCAATATACTAGCTCAAGAGGGTGAGCTAGCTATACTACAGATGTATAGGCAAAATAATATTTCATGCAAACCATAAACAGATTTAAATTTAAGTGTTCAAGAACATTTAGGCCAGGGACCTTGTATAGGATAAAGAGCTTTTTTTCTATTCAAATGATGATTTAGTTTTTTGTTTTCCCGCAAATAGGTTATACAATTATTAATTCATATTAGGTATATATTGAAGTTGTAATTATTTTTTTATGTGTAGTAGTAACATGTTATAGCTGTATTTACACTAGAAGAAGATTGAGCCTAATCTGTGTTCTTTATTATTGTTTGGGCTTATTTAAGGTTTCTTCTTATAGATGCATGGTGAAATCATAAAGCATGGTTTAGAAATTTCATATGTGATTAATTTAATTTACCTCAGTTTCAGATATGTATGTGCATGCACAAATGTCTGGTTGCCTGACATAGTCTTTTACTTTGAATTAGTTATCTTGGCTGAACATGGATTGGAGTTCCATTTTGGAACGGACCCAGTTACACATGAATTTACTAGAGCCTTTGATAGCGTTCAGGCGAGTTCTACTTCAAATCTTAAGTTGTAGGGACTGTATGGTGCAACATCTTCTGCAGTCCACATCTACCCTCCGTAAGGTATTTTCAGCATTTCATAATCATAGAACCATCCACTTAACCTGCTTTCCTGATACCTCCTTGTCTGTCTTTCCTTGTTATACAGGGTTCTAGATTTTCTCAAGCAGCTGCAGCTCTGCATGAGTTTAAGTTCCTCTGTGTCGAATCAGGAGAGCAAGATTCGTCCCTATATTGGCTTGGAAGGGTACATAGTTTTTATAATTCTTAACCTGCTTTGAGTACATATAAGAGGCTCCTATTTGAGAATTTCTTTTTTTAACTATAGATCCTGCTTAACTACATCTGTAGTCACAAGACTCAAATTTTTGTGGACAACTTTTGATGTTGTAGAGTGCTGGGAAGCTCTAAATAATGACTTCCTGTAATATCTCCCTTAAAGTTAATTTCTTTCTCACATTTGAGAATATATCCTCTTTTTTCTTGTCTCTAATTATTCGAACATCAGCTACACTGAGTCTTAGGACTGTAAATCATTGTTAGGCTTTTTTAATGGCGGACTCACTCTCTTCGCATGTAACCCGCCTTCTAGATTTGAATATTTATAAGATCTGTGGGAACTGTTGCCTGATACTTTTCTTTTGCACAATTACTTTATTTTTCCAACAAACTTCTGAGTTGCTTCCTTGTCTGGGTGGATGGAAACAACGTGCAAAACAGAATTTAATAGCTTCTACTTAACTTCATTTTCAAGTGCAAGGTTATTGCTATGCTTTACTTGTTCAGTAGAAACACGATCTCTCATAGTCCTTTCACTGAATCTGTGAACAGTGTATGTTTCACTTTGCGGCCTTTTCTGGTTTGTTTTAATTAATTTCTGTATTTTAATTAAATTTGGTTTTAATATGTCTGTCTGTCTAAATGTTTCTGTCATCCTTTTTCAAAAGTTGGAAATAACACTGGTAAACTTTTGTATCTTGGCAGCTTGAAGAAGCTAAGCTTTTGCGTGGCCAAGGTCAGCATGAGATGGCAATCAGCCTCGCAAAATATGTCTCACAAAATTTCCTGTCAAATGAAGAGTCTTCAGATGTTCATCGCTTGGTTGGGAAATGGCTGGCAGAGACTAGATCTAGCAAGTTATAGAAAATCTTAACTACTGATAATTTGATTTTGGATGTGAATAAAAGATATACTGATTTTTCTTTTAATTCTGTCTGGAATATAAATTCAGCTCAAGAACTATTTTAGAGAAGTATTTGAAGCCTGCTGTTTCACTTACCGAGAATCAGAAGGCTGCAGACAAGAGGTCCAGAGATAGACAAAGCCGAACACATTTTCATCTTGCACACTATGCAGATGCTCTATTTAGGAGTTATGAGGAAAGACTAACCTCTAATGAGTGGCAAGCAGCTATGCGTTTAAGGAAACACAAGGTACTCAAGAATCACTTAGAACAAGCACTCAAAGTTACTCAAGTTTAGTGTTTTTGAGCAATTTTTAGTAATTGACAATTTCACAGACAATGGAATTGGAAGCACTTATTAAACGGCTAAAATCTTCGACAAAGGTAAATTCAAACCATTATTATGTTTCCTTATTTGCCATTTTGATTTATAGGTACCATGGTGATAACCTGCCAAGTTTCCATGGCATTTTTTTCTTCTTCCATATATAATTTTAGGGGGAGAAGATTGACTACTCTGTCAAAATTCAAGAGCTGCAAAAGCAACTTGCAATGGACAAGGAGGAGGCCGAAAAACTTCAGGTAGTTGTTATACCTTGGTTTGTTGAAGTCTTGTTCAAAATTTGTCCTTCTCACTTGCTTTGTGTTGGAGGGGCAATTTTAACAACTAGTGAATGATCTGTGGGACATCTGGATCTAAAATCTGGGCTTCCTTTGTAAATGCAGAGTGGTGAGCGTATCTACGGGAATTGACTTGTAAAAATATAATCTACTTTTAACTGTTGTATTTGTTTTCATTAACTTCTCAGGATGACAGGGACAATTTCCTTAACCTAGCATTGGAGGGATATCAACGTTGTTTGGTTGTTGGCAACAAATATGATGTGCGAGTGGTATGCACTTACTCTCAACGTTTATGTCCAACCGAACCTAATCTAGCACTGTAATTATGTAGTGAATGGTCCTAAGAGTCTCTGGCCCTTAATGTCGATTACTTTTGCATGAGGTTAATATTTATTCAATTTGAGCGGAAAACAAAATGTTTGCCTTGGATTGAGTGGATAGTTTTACACAAATAAAAGCCATCCTCATTGATTTATTTTATTGTTGAACCCTGTATAATGCCATTGAAGACTAACACATGTTTTCAGGTTTTTCGGCTAATTTCCCTGTGGTTCTCTCTCTCTTCTAGAAAAAATGTCAGAGACAGTATGCTTACCACAATCACTGAGGTACATTGTGAATGAGAACAATATTATTAATCAATATTTGAAATAATAGAAACCAAATTTCTATAGTTTTCTGTAAAAAAGTTATATATATATATATATTATACATACACACACATATTTCTGGATAATGAATGCTATATAAGAGTTGTGCTTGATTTGTAATCCAATACTTGTACAGGTTCAGTCTTACAAATTCATCCCTTTAGTATACCAAATTGCTTCAAGAGTGGGTAGCTTAAAGGATTGCCCTGGACCTCATAATTTTCAGGTTCACATTGAGCTCATATTCTTGGCTCCTTCAGAAGTTGGGAGTATATTCTGATTCTAATTATTGGATGTGCAGTTTGCTTTGGTTTCTCTTGTAAAGAAAATGGCTATTGACCATCCATACCATACTATCTTTCAGGTATTCAAGATTAATTTTAATGGCCTCAGCTGGCCTGAAATTCCAAGCATGTTTTGTTCTTGAGTAATATGCTTACAAGGGTTTCATATTTCTGCATGAATTGCTATAATAAGTGAAATAGGAAACAAAAACCTTCTCATTGCCAATATCGCACCACAAGTACCATGCTTTTTTCAATCGTGCTCATTGTGAATATGGTCTTGTCAACCTGTTTTATGCATTGAAATAATATTGAATATTTTACGTTCCCGTCTGTACTTGCACTAGCTTCTAGCATTGGCAAATGGTGACCGTATCAAAGACAAGCAGCGCAGCAGGAACTCATTTGTGGTAGATATGGATAAAAAGCTTGCAGCAGAGAATCTTTTACAAGAGTTAACATCATATCACGGAGCTATGATAAATCAAGTATTTTGCATTACATTTCCAGATCAAGTTACTTATCTTAATTTATTGTTATATCTATATGAACTAAAAATGCGTACATATATATTTATATATGCATTCTTTTATTAGATGAAACAAATGGTAGAGATCTATATCAAACTTGCTGAACTAGAAACAAAGAGAGAGGTTAGTGAAATTTAATAAGTTGAGCTTTTCTTCTTCCTAATTACACATTACTACTGATCCTAGTCTTTTAATATCTTAATTCAATAACTTTGTTGCATTCCTATGATGAAGGAAAAGCCTTAAAACAGTTTGTCTGCTACTACCTAACTAGATTGTGTCAACAGGATACCAATAGAAAGGTAATGCTACCAAGAGAACTGCGTAATCTTCGACAGCTGGAACTTGTAAGTACAGCACCTTTATAGTTTGTACTTAGGAATTTGATAGGGATGTGATGATTGATACTGTGAAATCTTTCTATGATAAATGTGAAATCTTTCTATGATAAACAATGGTATTTTGGGAAGTGAAGGTTATTCTTGTTTTATTACTTGAAAATTCCAAATTGAATACTGATTAGGTGATTTGGCATCTTAATTGGTTTTTGGAAGGAAATTGGCTCATTGAGCTTGCATCTATTACTTAACTAATTAATAGCATTGCATTTATGATGAAATGGCAGGTGCCTGTTGTGACAGCTACCTTTTCCATTGACCAGAGTTGTCAATACCATGAAGGCTCTTTCCCCTACTTCAAAGGATTAGGAGATTCAGTTGTGTATGTCTTTGCAATATTATGAAATTCCGTATCAATATGTGTTTTTAAAATCTTCTTACCATAAGAGATGCTACATTCTGATGTATTTTGGTGTATATACAGAGTAATGAATGGTATAAATGCTCCAAAGGTGGTCGAATGCCTAGGTTCTGATGGCTGCAGATACAGACAGCTGGCAAAATCTGGAAATGATGATCTAAGACAGGATGCTGTAAGAGTTTCTACATGGTGTTTGTATGTCGGCTGGGTGTGCGTTCGTGTGCCTGCAAATGCATATCTTTTTGTCTATATTATTTGTCTTGCCATCTAACTCCTTCGGGGACACTGTAAAATTTCAAGCTTTCTGATAAAGGCACAGAAGCTTCAGAATTTTTACCTGACTATTCCCAAACGTCCATTCCTACTTTAAAACAGTGCATTGAACATGCTATTCTTAATTTGGTACCCTTACAACTTTTGTTGTCTAGTTACTTGCCACCCTTCAGGTGGGATCGGTGTAATGTGTAGTTACATGGAACATTAGTAATATTACTCTTTAGTCTTTACTTAGCCTTGCTATGAGGGCATTCCTTGCCTTCTCTGGAGTCTTGCTTGTTTTTTTTTTTTTTTTCCTAAAATAAATGTTTTAGTATCCTGTTTCCTTTTGGGAATAATTCTTCTGTCATGTTTTCACATATATAAGATTCATTATAAATGTACAGGTAATGGAACAATTTTTTGGTTTAGTCAACACCTTTCTACAGAACCACCGGGATACATGGAAAAGAAGATTAGGAGTGCGCACATACAAGGTATCTTCTTCAACACATAATGACATATCAGATCCCATCATGATCAAGGAGAAGGTTGATATTTAATTTGGTGAAAACGAAGAATATCACCAAAATTTTCTTTTTGGATGATTGTTCTAGTGCATGAGGAATTAGTTCCCTTTTTTTTTTTGCTTTTTTTTTCTTTCTTTTTTTAATACAAATTTATAAATAAACCCAATCCTAGACATGTATTTATAAAAAAACCCAAGCACTATTTAAACATAGAAACACACCCAAAATCAACCCCAAAGTCAACTTTTTGGGTGTGTTTATAAATGGGTTTTGAGTGTGTGTAATGATGGGTTTTGGGTGTGTTTATATGTTTAAATAATGCTTGGTTTTTTTTTATAATTTCAACCCCCATTTTGGGTGTTTTAGTGAAACTCCCTTTAAAATTTCCATTGAGAAATTTTCCATGCATGTTATCGGGTCTGTATCATGTCTCTTTAAGTATTAATGTTAGAGATTATTGCATCCCAAAGGGGGATGGAAGTTGATATCTGATGGGGATGGGACTTCAATAATTCCTTTATGCATTTTGAGGATTTAGTAATAAATGAACTCTTGTGCGTGAAAATTGCAGTATTGATTCCGACTGCATATGCATCGGTTTGTTAAAAATAATAAAATTCTAACAATAATCTTTATCATCTAATTCTTTTACCTATTGAAATCGCAATGTTCTTGATGCAATAGGTAGTTCCATTTACTCCAAGTGCTGGTGTTCTTGAATGGGTTGATGGCACTCTTCCTCTTGGTGAATATCTTATAGGAAGGTAATGGGTACCATCTTTTAGAGCCTACTTGAGGTTTAGAATGATTGAATAATATGGTTTTTCTAACTTTCCATTTTTCAATTTTCAGCATGAGAAATGGAGGTGCCCACGGTCGCTATGGGGTGGGGGACTGGTCATTTCAAAAATGCCGAGAACACGTGGCAAATGTAAGTATCACTGCTTACAATTTGTAACAGTAGGAAGAATATTGTGATTTAAGAAAACCTGTTAATTGAAATGGCATAAATAATAAAGGAGGGTGTTCTCCTTTTCACTAAACCTAGATAGTTTTGTACGAAGATTTTGGGAATGCCTGTTTTTAGGACAAACATTTATGTCTGAATACCAATATTGTATTCATGTCTCTCAAATTTGTCCATATATGGGGCTTAATATTATTTGTTTTCTTTACTCATCATTAGATCTTTCACTCAGGTGTAAAGTGAAATGCTAGGCACGTTTGCTCCAATATTGTAGGTGTTACAAAATAGTATGGATAGTAGATGTCTTGGAGAGAGAGCTAGAGTTAACAATTCTATGTCAAGTATCACAACTTACGAATGCAAAAGAAAATGTTACAGAGCAGATTAGAGTTATCATACTAGTACTCTCATTCAAAAGCATATGGTCACCTTTAACAAACTTACATAAATGCTTTGGTCTTTGCCAGGGAAAGGACAAGCGCAAGGCATTCCAGGAAGTTTGTAGGAAGTTCAGGTATGTCAGACCTGTCTTTGACATGGAGAACACCAAATTTTCCAAAATTTTAACTGGTTAACCTCTTAATTCAATTGACACACCTCATGCAGGCCTGTCATGCATCATTTTTTCTTGGAGAGATTCTTGCAACCAGCTGACTGGTTTGAAAAGAGACTTGCATACACACGAAGTGTTGCTACTAGTTCAATGGTTAGTGATTTATACTCGTTCTGGGGCAGTTGAGTTTGGACATGGTCTTTAATAATAGGGAATGTCGTAGTTTCAACTTCCAAGCCTTGTTAGAGACTGTTGTAGTTCTGTTGCTTGGGGTCTTTCCCCCCAAGATCACCAAAAAAAAATAGTTTCCAGTCTTTTTCATTAAGAATAATCTCTTTAGGATGAATCCTGCTTAATTTATAAAGATGACTGCATGATTGTCTGCTTGTTGATAATTCTAGAAATTGCACTCCATATTCAGGTTGGTTATATTGTTGGCCTTGGAGATCGACATGCTATGAATATCTTAATTGATCAAACCACTGCAGAAGTTGTTCATATAGATCTTGGTGTTGCCTTTGAACAAGGCTTGATGCTTAAAACACCAGAAAGGGTTTGTACTTTGTGATTATGTTTCCCCTTCTAAGCTTGTTTATGTAGCTTCCTGACTTTAGTATGGTTCAATGTTCTTATCTTAACAAATGTTCACAGGTTCCATTCAGACTTACAAGGGACATCATTGATGGAATGGGTATCACTGGAGTGGAAGGGGTTTTCAGAAGATGCTGTGAAGAAACTCTTTCTGTTATGAGGACAAATAAAGAAGCACTACTGACCATCGTTGAAGTATGTAACTTTAGTCGATTTCTCAAATTAATAAATAACAATCAAAACTTCTTGCTTCTCTTGATATCAGATGGGATTTCTACGCAGGTTTTTATTCATGATCCACTTTATAAGTGGGCTTTATCACCTCTGAAAGCTTTGCAGCGTCAAAAGGTAATGGAAACTTAACTTTCTGTTTACATTCAGTGTATGTATGTGCAATCTGAGTCCAGGACTTGTCTGCCAAGAAATGGTAAGGGAATGGGATAAATTGGGGCCCTTAAAAATTTATAAACATCAGATAATGTGTGAAAATTATTTACAAATTAGAATGGCATTGACAACTTAAAAATTTGAACACACTGGAAAACAAGGTTTCCTAAGTTTTGTGTCTTTCACCAAAATTATGTTTACTCAGCGAGCTTAGGTGGACAAATTCCACTTCCTATCAAAGCTCAGAACCTAAAACGATGATAATAATGTTTTGGCCATTTTGACTTAAAGTAATTACTTCATAGAATATGCCACCTTCAAACGTTTGATTCAGTCATCCATCTCAGTTGACATTCTTAAATTGTTTCACACGTAGCAGCTGTTCAAGCTACCCCAGCTTACATTTTCGATTATACTGAATAAATTTATTTTTCTTGGTAAGGAAACGGATGACGACTTGAATTTAAGCTTCGAAGGCTTGCAAGATGGATATGAAGGTAATAAGGATGCTGCACGTGCGTTGATGCGTGTAAAACAAAAACTAGATGGATACGAAGAAGGAGAGATGCGAAGCATACATGGACAGGTAAATCTCGAGTGCCACAGTTACATCGACTTTATAGCCTCCTTATATATTCTTTCTTGAACCATTTTGGTTGATAAGGTTGGGTACCCATACTGCATCAAATAACTAGCACCAATGAACATGGTATGATTACAGCTGTGCCAATGTTGAGCATTACCATAAAATGGACATTGATTCCCTCTCATGTAAAAATTGTGTGACAGAGGAATCAGTTTTGACATCTCTTTTGGTGCAATCCTGGTGGTCCTCATCTAGTGATTCATATAGCTACCAAGTTTTTCATCTGCTTCACTGTTTACAAGGGAAACCAAAGATCCGGAGGTTAAAACACAAAGAGCATATCGAACTTATCTATTAGTGGCAGATGATAATCTACTTCTCAAATACCTTTAACCAGAAAAATTCCAGCCTTCGTTATCAAGGCTGTATGCACTAGATCAGGAAAACTTCCAGCCTCTTGTACGGAAACACCCCTGCCAATCTCAACAAGAATTATAACTATTGTGGAACTAGCCCTGTGAGGACCTTTGTTTCCTCAGGCACATTGTGGAACTAGCGCTGCAAATGGAGAGACTCCTCTTTGGTTAATACTTAGTTGAGAATGGTGCGATTTGAATACATTTTAGCTTTGGGTATCTGTCATAAGACAAATCTAAATTTGCAGGTTCAACAACTTATACAAGATGCTATCGATCCCGAGCGTCTTTGTCAACTGTTTCCTGGATGGGGAGCATGGTTGTGATGGATTTGTCTCCGTCAGCTTAGTCCCATCCCAACAGCTTCAAATCATCTTGTATAGGCGGCATTAAATTTTATCAAGTTTTGTGATCTGTTCTTTTCTTCTGTATATATTCCCGAGTATACGAGGTGTAGTCGGTCCATGTATAGTATGCTCCAATGCTTATGGCAGCTAGTTGCATCAGGTCAATTAGATTGTAATTATTGTAAGCAATAATGTATATCATTTGGGTGGGGACAAATTGGAAGGAAAAACAAAAAGCCGACAACTATATATTTTATACGAAAACACTTGAGAGAGCCCAATTGGAGAAACAAAAAAAAATTCATCTAGCTACTTGTTATTTTCTAATTGGTCCTTAGTGTTTTACTTTCTTTCCATTTAAAAGTACATCAGGCTGTTTTCCTTATAGTATTGGGTTTGAAGAGTTTTCTTCGAAAATGTAAAGTTTTCATGGGAAAGCTATACTAGTATACTGCAATGAAATTGTATTAAAATGTGTACGACCACGTGCAAGAATGCTTATACACCTTATTTTGCTTATTGGGCTTATATTTTTTGTCTTACAAGCAGCCAAGTACTTGGGGCATGTTTGGGAGTGCTGCTTTTAAATTGTATTTATCTTCTTTATTTTTTCTATTTCTTTTTTTATTTTGGGTTTAATCGTACCTAGTCTTCTATTATACCTTTCATGAAAAGCAAAAAAATAAAAAATAAAAACATACAATTTGTCTCTCTTAAGGCAGAATATGAAGGAATGCTCAAGCTTCGGTCGACCTACATCGGCCCAAGTTTCTATTATTATTAGGAAGACATTTTACCTTTTTAATTTGAAATCCCGAAGGTCAAAATGCGTTGACCCAAGGAGATTTGCTTAGGAAAAATAAGCGCAGATTGCTAGTGGCTGCAACCGGTACTCTTGTTGTATCACTGTTTTAGCTGGGATCTTTGTCCGACCCACTGAAACCGAGAGAGGTCGGCCCCCCGGTTCCGCAGGT